TTTTGCGTCAAGAGTGAAGACTTTTGCGTCAAGAGGGGTTTCATATAACTGATTCTAGGGATGTTCCGAGGATACCAGTTATGTATTATTGGGATTCCTCTCGTGGTGAAATAGTTGGGTGTTAGTAATGAAATTTGAATTTACTTCTGAAAATATTAGATTTTCAGTTATAAAGTTCACACATTTTCTGTAATTATTTAGGACATGCATAAACCAAAATGTATGCTTGCGGTGAGGGACTGAACGTAGTTCAGTTCTATATTGAGGAGTGTTTTTACTTTGTGATTCTTTTCTATCTGTTGGTAGTATTTTTACCCTCTAGAGTTCAATATTCAATTCCCTATCCTGTTCTAGTTCTTCCTTTCAACACTTATATGATGTGGGAATGGTAGGTACTAGGTTGTCTAGTAGTTTTGGTTCATTATTGAAGATGATTAACGTGGAGAAAGATTGAGTTGAATGTTGAGGTTCTTTTTATTCTTTGAAGGGGAATTGTTAGTTCCCTGAAGTCTTCCTTCTTTCTCCCTTTCTCCCTTCTTTTCTTTAAGGGGGTTGTCTATCGATCTTATTTGTTATTAAATTTGAGATATATATTACTTAGTTTACTCTTATTTCTCACCTGCATTGATCTTAATTCTTGTGAGAAATATTAAGTGTACAATAATTCTTGCACTTTCTAGACTTCATGTATGTCGCTGCTTTTATTATATTTTGAATTTGCACGATTTAAGTTTTAATGGATGGTTGTTGACTCTATTCTTCCAGAACTATACTATTTTAAATGAAGAGGATATTCGGCAATGCCAAGAGGAAAGTATTACAAAGATATCTACAGTCCTCTCAATTTCAAGGGTAGCTGCTGGCATTTTGCTTCGCCACTATAGCTGGTAATTGTTTCTTACTGGCTTTTTTCCACTGAATTGTAATAACTTTATATAGGTTGGGCTTCACAAGATGACTGTAGAAAAGTCTCTTTTAGGTATGGAACGGAAGTGGTGATCTGAAAATTAAATAAAAATATGCTGAAATATCAAGTGGTTTAATGATTATTTATGAAGGTTGGTTACTTATACCCTCTGAAGAATTCTTTCATATGTTCTTGGCTAACAGGAGTGTTAGTAAAGTGAATGATGAATGGTTTGCAGATGAAGAAAATGTCCGTAAGACTGTTGGTTTATTGGATAATCACATCCCCCTTCCTGATGCTAAAGAGGTGATTATGAAATATAATGTTGCATTAAGTTTTCCCTTGTAGTTTGTACTGTTATGGAATGTTATAATCCTTTTCGTATAGAATTCTTCTTACTTACTCGTACACCGTGATTTAATTGTCTTCTCTCTCTGCAGCTAGAGTTTTCCCTTGTAGTTTGTACTGTTATGGAATGCTATAATCATTTTCATACAGAATTCTTCTTACTTGCTCATATACCATGTGATTTAATTGTCTTCTCTCTCTGCAGCTAACTTGTGGGATCTGCTTTGAAACATACCCTCGGGATAGGATGAGTGCTGCTGCCTGTGGTCATCCATTCTGTGTTATATGTTGGCAAGGTTTGTATCCTTACACCTGCTAACAGTTCTATACTATTTTATATTCTGTTATTTGGACGGGGCAGTGGGATTGGTAATGGTCTGAAATTCCAAATGTACATCAGAGTGCCTACCTCTATTCTGCAGGATATGTTGGCACAGCCATTAGTGATGGGCCTGGATGCTTAATGTTGCGCTGTCCTGATCCATCATGTTGTGCAGCTGTTGGCCAGGACATGGTGAATCAGTTGGCTTCATATGATGACAGAGAGAAGTATAACCGCTACTTTTTAAGATCATTTGTTGAGGATAATAGGAAGGTAATGAGTTTTTGCAACTTTATGGCATCCTTGAGACAGAATACATTAGTATAATAAATTTAAGTTTACTCTTAGTTTGCATCTTCGTAACCATACTTGAAGGAGAGTAGCTATCGTGTGTGAGGAGTTCCAAAGTTTTACACTGGTGATTCGAACAAATAGACACACATGTAAATTCTTTTTTTTTTTTTTTTTNTCTTTGTTCTCTGAAATTAAAGTGGGATGACTGGCTTGCATGGTCTTTATCAGCATGAAGTTTAAATCAAAGCATTTTCAGTATTCATTATGTGGATTTTCTGTTAGAGTATATTATAGTAGCTTGCAGTAGGGTTTATCCCATATCCCTTTTATTGCCAGACAAAGTGGTGCCCAGCACCTGGCTGTGACTATGCTGTGGACTTTGTTGTTGGTAGTGGAAACTATGATGTCAATTGCCGTTGCTCCTACATTTTTTGTTGGAATGTAAGTTTCACTGCTTCCTCCTAACTTAAACTTTAGATTTTTCTATTGTGCCTTAAATTTTATTAACTATTAGTGAAACTACCTCACAGTGTGTTGAGGAAGCCCATCGCCCAGTTGACTGTGGAACCGTGGCTAAATGGGTTCTGAAGAACAGTGCTGAATCTGAAAATATGAATTGGTAAGCTAGTTGATTTCATGAAGAGAAAAACTCTTGTTCTTCTCTGAATCAAGGACTGCGGTTGATTGTATTAGCTCTTTCACTCTCACACTTGGATGATTTATCTGGTGTAAATGTTCTTTGTATGATCATATACTAGATGAACTAATATATTTCTAAAGGGTTTGCTCTTTTCCACAGCTATATATTATGATCTAATGTATCTTCTGTTATACAAGGATATTGGCAAATTCAAAACCTTGTCCTAAGTGCAAAAGGCCGATTGAGAAGAATCAGGGTTGCATGCATATTACATGCACACCACCGTGTAAATTCGAGTTTTGCTGGTATGGTTTATTTCTGTTGTTGTGGGGATGGCCTTCTATTTTCAGTGATGACTATCCTTTGCATATTTCTTCATAAGTTACTGCAGTCGTCCTTATTATTATTATTTTTTTATTTTTTGCTTTCTAAAATGATCCAGAAGTCAAATACAGAGAGATGAATGTTTTGTGCAGAATAATGTTTTCTGCATGATCCATAGTTTCTGGAAGGCGTGCCAGATTTTTTGATAGTGCATCATTTTATTGGACTTGCAGGCTGTGTCTTGGTGCATGGTCAGAACATGGTGAAAGAACTGGTGGATTTTATGCATGCAACCGTTACGAAGCTGCCAAACAAGAAGGAGCTGTAAGATTACCATGTCTGTCTAATAGTTGAAGTATCACAAGTGTATCTCTAGACTCCAATTACCTTGATGTGTTTTTACAGTATGATGATGCTGAAAAGCGAAGAGAGATGGCGAAAAATTCTTTAGAAAGATATACACATTACTATGAAAGATGGGCTACAAACCAGTCTGTAAGTATTGACTATTTGATGAAACATGTGATTTGGCTGATTATTAGATCTAGATCTCGCAAGTAGGTTGGTCAGAACTGATTTTATGGAATGATATATTCTACTTCTGCTTTATAGTTGGTGCGCTGGTTTGTATGTAATGAGTTGGATTTGTCATTAATAATTGTTGTCCATACTTCGGTTGCTAAAATACCTCAGAGAGTCGTTCATGTGGTTAATTTATGTATATTACTTAATTCGGCTGTAATATGCATCCACATGTTCCTACTCTTATGATTTTTTTTCTGTTTTTTTTTTAATTTTTTTTTTGTTTTTTATTATTATGCTTGTTGAAAGTCAGTGGCCTTTTGTCCCTTTTGCATCACTTAAGTTGATCTCTATTTTGACTTCTGCAGTCTAGGCAACGAGCAATTGAGAATCTACATCAAATGCAAACAGTACATGTAAGGAACTTCCTCAAGTTCACTTATCTTTCAATGTGGTTGTGGTGGTAGCTGTGCACTTAACCTTTGCGTTATTTCTGTGAATAAGCATTAACTTCATGTGATTTTCAAATTGTACTGGATTATTGTGAGACCTATATGTTTATTGATAATAATGTTATTGTGCAGCTGGAAAAGCTAAGTGATATACAGTGCCAGCCTGAGTCTCAGCTTAAGTTCATTATAGAGGCTTGGCTACAGGTATATCTTAAGTTATACTTTTCTTTGTATGGTAGATAGCTTTTCATTAATGCGTTACTGATCTTTTGCTAATAATTGGAAGTGTGTTTCTACCGGCAGTATGAATAGAGAACTTGTCAGTTGAAAACTGGCAGTAGGCACTGGCATGCCTAGACTTGTTTAGCCCCAGAAGGCACAAGACGGTCAAATGATGTGGATTTTTATTTTTTATTTTTTGTATTTTATCTGTTGAATAGTGTACCGTTCACATGGTTAACAGGTAGCATCCTGCTAATAGTTAGAGCAGATCAGAGTTTTCCCTAATTATCTGGAAACTTTGCATTTCATATTTATACTGCTTTGAGAGGTTTAGCTATTGTGAGCAATATTTTTCCTTCACAATCTCTATGTTAAGTGTTTCATGCCGGATGCTCCATATATTTTACACCTTGGAGATTACCCTGTCATGCATATGTTGTATCAATGAAGTAGGGTTCCTAGTGTACAAGTTACAGTATACTTGGTGTGGGACTTCTTTTATTTTGTAATCTCTTTAAATAGAGTAAGCATTTCAACTGCTTACCATATATCTTGTTTCAGATTGTTGAATGTCGACGAGTTTTGAAGTGGACATATGCTTATGGATATTATCTACCTGAACATGAACATGCTAAGAAACAGTTTTTTGAATATTTACAAGGTAAACAATTCTCCAAATCTGGAGTTTATGTATTATTTTTCTCTTTTCTCTCTCTCTCTCTCTCTCTCTCTCTCTCTGTGCTGCAGATTTATTTTTGCGTCTTTTAGGTGAGGCTGAATCGGGTTTGGAACGACTTCACCAATGTGCGGAGAAGGAATTTCAGGTTTACCTCAACTCTCAAGGTCCTTCAAAAGAGTTCAATGATTTCCGAACAAAGTTAGCAGGATTAACTAGGTAAACTCCCAATTGACACACTCTTCTACTCTACAATCATATCATCATTAAATATTTTCATTTCAAATAATTGATGATAAAAATTTGGAGTGTGAGGGGATAAGGACATGAAGATGTAATTATGAAAATAATTTTATTCATTATTATTTTAGCAAAGATCGCAAAAAAAAAAATCCCCGATTGTTTTTACTTTATTGACTGCAGTGTGACCAAGAATTACTTTGAGAACCTTGTTCGAGCATTGGAAAATGGTTTATCCGATGTGGACTCCGGTGGCCCACGCAACCAAGCAAGTGGTAGCTCGAAAAATCTAGCAAGTGGCAGTAGTAAAGGTAAAGGTAATAATAAGGGGAAAGGTACCTCTTCAAAGTCGAGCAGTTCTCGGAATATAGATGATTCAGGCCATTGGTCTTGTGAATACTGCACATATGCCAATGTTAGCTCATCCACCGTTTGTGAAATGTGCCAACAGCGCCCATAAGAAAGCACGTGTGCTTTTTTGATCTGCTTTGCTTTGCTTGACTTGGCTTGGCTTGGCTTTAGTTTTGCATATATGAAGTGGACAAATAATATGAAGGGGGAATTAAGAGAAAGAAAGATGGATGTTTACTGGCAAAATGATTTGCAAGATATGTTTGGTCTTTGTTGTCTTATGCCTCTGTCTAGAAAATGTGTAATAAGCCATTCCAAATCACACATGTGGTTCCATGTATATTATACTGTTATTATTTATCTTTGTTAGGTGTTTTAGTGTTTAATTATGGATCAAATACCAGTTGACTGTGATATTGATATGTACTTAGGTTATGTATGCATCTTGTGTTGTGAAATGGCCATACTCATTGCAGTTCACTTGGTGTATTACAAATCAAAATATTGAACGAACATTTTATCATCATGGTCCTGACAGTTGTATTTTCTTGCATCTTTTTATATTTGATGATTCAAAATTGGGACTTGGAAAGACTAGCATTATGCCCTTGAAATGATATTTTTTTTTAATTTTTTTCAACTGCATCGCTCATCTCATAAATGGGGAATCCCCACTGGAAATGTTTGTCTCATGAATGAATATGAACTCCCCTGGCTTTACACAGGTAAATGTAAACCCAATGACAGGCTCAATGCAATAGTTGAACCATAACAAGCCAAAGTCATGCACAATGCTGTTAAGTTATACGAGTCGAGCTCGAGATCATTTAAAGTTCGTTTGGTTACGAGGCTCAGCTCGAAAAGAGAATTTTTATAGTTTGATTCGTCAAAGCTTGAGATCAGCTCGTTAAGGCTCGAACTCGGCTCATTATTAGTGATAAACGAGTCGAACTCGAGTTCAATTTCAGGCTCGTTAAGTGCTCGAGCTCGGCTCGTTTACAGGCCTCACTCTTGCATAACAAATCAAACCAAATAGTGCAGATGGAGATTCAAGTTACAAGGTCTCAGCATAATGAATTGATTCTACTAGGCCACTCAAGCATAATGAATTGGTACCTAAAAGAAAGATGATGACTGTGCGCAAACATAAAATGATAGATAGAAAAATGTAGTGATATTGATCTCTCTCTACTTGGTCATGTCATGTATTGATGATGCATTGTAAGAAACACATGTATATCATATGGAGTTATGAATGGGGCTTTCATACACCATTGAGCTAAAACTACAATTAGTGGCAAAATTCTACTACAAACTTTTTAAGACTCAACAAGTCCTACTTCTCTTGTGAGCCATTCAGATTTCTCCTCCTCGTCTTCAAAATAGTATAAGCCAACAAAAAAGGAACTGCAAAACTGTAGACAGGGAAATCGACGATTGGGTTCATCTCAAATGCCTTCATTAGTGCCACGCAATTCTACATAATCACATTGCAAAACAAAACACCACTCAGTCGTGAGGAAAAAAAAAAAAGAAAAACAATTCCAAACAAACAGATCACAAATCAATAAAAAAGAACAAGAAAGCATTTACCTTAAAATGCTTCCAAACAATAGCCAACGAAGCCATATAGAGCAGTTTTCTAAACCAGCGCCTGAGTACAACAATTTCTGATGTTTTATCATCATCATCATCTTTCTTCTTACTAGAACGAGACATAAGATGATCACGATATATTCCACTTTCAGCAGCAAATGCCATACTAATTATTATCGAGGGTAAAACCACGAGAAAAAGATGTGCAAGAACAATCACCATCACATCGGGGAATCCAAAAAATTCAATCTTTCCCGAATTGTCGAATCTTGAAACCCAACCTTTATAAGTCATGTATGCTTTTTCAACTCCTCGAGTCGAAATTTGACCATAAAACCAAGGGCACAACACAAGGTAAAACAAGTAACCCACTATAGAAAGCCATGCTAATTGGATATCGTAAAGTTCCATAAATATCCATGCGAGCCCATTCATGAATCTTTTGTTGGATCTAAAATTTCTAAATGTATACTGCCTCCTCGAAAAAAAAGAAAGGACTACTTTCGGAATAACGAGTACCGAAAGGGTTAGAAAGTAAAATACCGAGAGTATTGGGAAGTACAATGAGTCCCATTGACAACCCATCACGAAAAATTCTTTCCAACTCCACGAGAATCTTAAGGGGACACCATTAACCGAAAATGGCCTGATTTTGCTAAAAGTCGACCGATTTCTTATATCTATTGCCTCTATTCGAAGTAAAAATCTTTCGGGAGAAGGGTCCTCGAATGCTCGAATATTCCAAGGTGCAATATAAATGTCGCCACGCAATCCACCAAGCTTAGTCATTGGTGATTCTAGAACAACAACAAGATTCTCGGTGCTCGAGTCGTAAATCTTGGCATAAACCGACACAATCGGAGAAGAAGAGAAAACAAGAGCTCGAATGAACCCACAAGAATATATGTCCGCTTTGCAAATTTCATAATAGTTTCGCAATGTCGATGAAGTGAAGCGCGAGTCTAAAGGGAAAGTTGGCAATATAATAGTTCTCTTCGCTCCTAATTTGAAATCGGTATCAACGAATGAAATGTGGCCTCTATCAATAGCTAAAATGCGCATGACTCGATTTTTCCTCCAATCACCGGTTTCCCATTCCCAAAACTCATTGGATTGTGTTGAAATAATATTTGAAGTCGTTCGATGACCCTTTAATTGGAATAGCCGTTTGGAATATTGACTGTGATGGTATCGCTTTAAATTCTTACCGAATTTTACGTGCAAATGTCCGCACAAGTAAACGGATAAAGAATTCTTGATGAATATGTCATTTAGTGTCTTTCCAGACTTTGAGGCCGCAGAAAATGAAAGGGGAAAATGGCCAAAGGATATTTTGGTGACTGGCTGAGAAGGTTGCGAGTCCCATTGTACGAGTTCAGAGTTTATATCTCCTAAGAGTTCATCTGTCGGGTGTCCAAACAAATTTGTTGGGCCGCGTAAGCCCAAAGACATTGTGCTGTCAAACCCAACAAAAAGAATCTTCCTTTTGCTGGTCTGCATTATTCATCAGATTCAGAAATTTCAGATGACAGTTACTCACACTTGAAATAAACTAGAGATAGTATTCTAAGATATCAGTTACTCGAAAAAAAGAAAAAACAAAAACTCTCAAAATGTTTAAAACACCTTACCAAATAAGTACCCGCTATAGAGGGCACGGGCACAATTTACAAGTAAACAAAACTAAGGGAGTTGTAATTTACAATGGATCTAAGGGTGTGACTGGGTATGGATTTGATAAAAAAAAAGTCATTTTTAACTCAATCATTTTTTTAACTCAACTTTAGCCAAACCCCAGTATCCTCGATATTATCAATATAATTAAATAATATCAATCAATCAATCTTACAAATCACATCAACTTTAATTCACTATTTATACACTCACATAATTTTAACTAACCATCTCTTTCACATCATCCATCTCCTACTTTCACATCAAATCAATCTTAATTATTTTATTTTAAATATTATTTTAATATAAACTCAAATCCCACTAACAACTGACTATACCCACATTTTTCACAATTAACTATGGTTAACAAAAAACCAATCAAAACTAAATCAAATCTATATCCAATCACACCTTGTTCTGCAACAAGGCTAAAACTCAGAAGTAGCATTTCAAATTATTCCCATATACAAATTGCAGCTTTCACTTAATCATATCATTCTCAATAATAGAAAAGAATGATGCAGCACAGAGATATAAGCCTAAAGAAATATCTGGACTTTCAGTTCAAATGGGACAATATTTACAAGCCTCATGCAGAAACTGAAGAAAAGAGAGTCACACAAACCTGAAAGGTGATGCTATTGACTTTTCCACTTCTTTCTAGTTGCTGGTTAATGCTGTATTTCGAGAAGAAATCAAAGGGCCCACCAACAGAAGGTACACCAAAGTTATCATGGTTGCCACGAACATCATAGAACTTGCTCTTATCAAGCCCACTCCTCTTCACAACATCTCTCATGACTTTATCGTACTCAATCCATTCATCTTCATCTTGTTTCATTGTCAGTAAATCCTTGCTTTTACCATCTGGTGAATGCAACAAAAACAGAAGTCGTCATTGCCAATGCAGAGCATGAAGCATCAATTTACAAAACAGTGAAGGATAAATAAGCACATAACAAAGCCATCAGCTAATAATTACATATATGTGAATTGTGATAAAATATAAATTGATGGAGAAGCAATTTCATTGAGCATGGATAAACCAGGTTTCCTCTCTATACTCTAACTAACTGGCTTGCTCTCAGGGGGTATATAAGTTCACATATTCTTTAATACCAAAATAGATGAAGCTAGAAGCTTGTCAGGAAATCAAATACTTCTTCCCATCAACAAAACACAGAATTATGCTGTGATATTTTTACTACGGACATAAAACCTTTCTGATAAGAAAAACGATAAAAGCATATTCACCATATATGCATACAAAATGAGTCATTATTTATATTGTGTGCTCTTAGAAACAAGTCAAATATAGTTAACAATTCCAAATGGATGGGATTCAATAAAAGCTTATACATCAATTAGTATGACCCCTAAGGTTAGGTAACTCACTACTGTTATTCATTTCTTAAACATTAACGAAGCTTGATGTAGAAAAACATGAGTGGACAGTTTACAAAGAATATTTTTTTAGCAAAATGTAATCTTTCTTCGTCATTGGTGTTTTAAGTTGAAACAGTCAAAGAAGTTGTACCCTTACAAGATAATCATACATCAAAGTACAATGAACTAAACCAAATGGAAGCAATAAAACTTTAGTAGAAAATGCGGAAAGCTTTTAAAATGCCAAACCCAAAAGGAAAAACAAAATACCATCCAAACAAAAACGATTCTCCATGAGAACCCATCAATTCAAGAACCCACATCATCAAATACTATAACCTCACCAGTGAGGTCGCCAGTGAGGAGGACGAGATCAGGCTTGATGAAGGAGAGTGTGGGCCCCACAAGCTCCGTGAAATCTGCGGCTCTCTCTGGGTGGTGCACGCTGAAATGGAGATCAGATAGCTGCACCACCCACACAAGATCATCATCCGGTCCTCCCCCAATCTCGATCAGCTCCCTCTTCTTGCTACCCTCACTCCAGGAGTTGCTCTGCCCACGCCGGGACTGGTTTTCATCTGAGGGGAGTGACGCGGATTGTTGGGATTGGATTGCACAGAGTGCAAGGAATATTGTGATTGCAATGGCGGCTTCTCCCATTCTCCTGGGTCTTGATTTTGCTGGAAATGTTTTCCTCAATAATTTACACAAGTTTTGTGTTTACCTCTCGCTCTCTTTTTTTTCTCTTTTTAATTTCATAAAATAAAAATTCATAATTACAACTAGACAATAATTAAAAGAATAAGTCAAACAGCCCTCAACTTCGAACTGTCGATAAATCTTGGATTCCGTCTCTTTAGGTGGGGCTCCACCTCTTTTGGTGGTGAGGCTTGGGCCTCCGGTTGGGTCTCTTGTGGTGGTATTGGGCGGAGTGCGGATCCTCGGAGGGGTGGAGCTCCGGTTGCTGCGGCTTTCTTAGTCGTGGATAGACCCACCTTCACCCTCCCCCGTTCGGCTACTGGTGTTGGGCGGTGGGAGAATTTGAACTCGGCTAGTAGTGTTAGACGGGTTCGGGTGGTCTGGTGTGAGGGATTGTTGGCTCTCTTTTCGATTGAGGACGTGTCGATTCGGGGATTGGTTCGGCCTCAGTTTCAGCTACTTGTATAGGCGTTCATGCAGTTTCGGTAGTAGATTCTCTGGCTATGAATCTTTCTTGAGTCGATCGTTCACTGATGGTTAGAACCGTTTGTATGACGAGGAAGAACTTTGCTGCTTATTTTGTTGTTTTTAGTTTTTCTTGTTTAGTGTGGTATGTGCTTGTGTTTGTATCTGTATTTGTGTTTTAGGTTTGGGCCGTTGGCCTCTGTATTCCGGAGTGCCAAATTTATTACTCCGTTAGGGTCCTGCACTCCGGTATAACTCTGTTGGGGTCTTTTTTAGTTGTGCTAGTTTTTGTTAGTGTAGTTTCGAGTTTATCATTCTAGCGTTGCTAGACGGTTCTAGGCGATCTTAGGATCTGCCTCCCTGTTTTATAGTCTCTGGTTGTACTATTCAGCCTTTGGCTGTTTTCTTTTCGCACTTTGTGCAGTTTCATTAATATAGTAGCTCTATTGTTTCGGGAAAAAAAAAATAGAGGATACCCGACAAATTAGAAAATTACGCTAACTCTCCCACAAAATAAGCAAGCTAAAAAACTCCCACCAACGGAGAATAACGCTACTCCCAGCAACATTGTCGCGCGAAAGCAGCCGACGCACGATCCTACGATTCCCGTCGACACACAACTAGCGTCGACCACGCCCAGACGACCCGCCAGTGCAAGATAGCGGCCACCAGCCAACACCGACGACCACCAGTGACCACTGATGACCACCAACAGCTCAACCAAATCCAACAAGCCCTAGACGATGTGGATCAACCAGCCTCAGTTCAGCGATGCCCCGGGCGATGCGAGGCGCGATTAGAACATCGACAAGGCGTGATGCAGTGATCATACGCGAGACGATACCCGACCAAGGCGAAATTATTGGTGTCTGTTGGGTGTCTGTTGTTAGTGTATATACTGAAAGCTTGATTTTTTGCGTTATTTACACTATATTCGATTGAATGATAATCATGTTTAATTAAATAGTTCTACGTTTTGATGTTTTGTATGGTTTATTCGGGATGGTCAGAAGATCATATTATTGGTTACTTTTAAACATAAATAATTGGTTCATAACCTAGATAGAAATGAAAACCTTGATCTTGACTGATGAATTGGACTATTACATTTGTGAGTGTATTGAAGCACATGCACTCAGTAGTTGCTAATTTGAGTAGTTGCTAATTTGATGTAGAAGCCTTAACAATGTTTAGAGCTCATCAAGTGAAATAATAATAATAATAATAATTGATTTGGCTGTTGACAACAAAGGGTGCCATTTATTAGTCCTCAGAGCATCTTCAATGCACGGTCTAGTCTTGTCTATGTGGCAATTAAATAATTCAAGTCTTAGATGACATGAATAAAACTATATAAAATTAATAAAATTCACTTCAATTTAAGTCTAAAATAGACTTAGATCGAGTTTCTTTTTCTGGCTGCCACATCAGCAGGACCCAGTCTATTTCTTATGTTCTTTTACATGAAATATATTTTTTTAAACTGAATCTATTTCTTATGTGGCATGTAATTTTTTTTGGATCGAATCCAAAGCATTGTGATGCTCTACTATTTAGCCGAGCTCCCGACATTTTGACAAAAATGCACGCTGATACTGATAATAGCCCAGCCTACCTAAATTACGATTTACCCTTATCGCCACAGTCTCCCACTCCATATTTCGTCCAGGGATTATCTTCCCCCAGAAAAGGCAGCCGCGTTTGTGCCGGCGAAGAAGGTGAGCATTTTATTCAATTTCAATGTTATCGTATCCAAAATGGGTAAGCTTTATGTGATTTGGGAATGATATAGGTTTTACAAATTTGTTTGGAATCGTCTTCCTTGGGGTCTTCCTGATGTTTATTTTTGCTTTCGTTGGCTGTATGTGCTTGAAACTGGGCTTTAATGGTAGATTATTGTTGGGACGTAGATGACGTCACCAACGCGGGATAGGCATTTATCGAGTTGGGTGATACATTTTTTGTGCCAAGAAATCGTAGACCGGAAACGTCGCTCAAGAAATGTACATATCAACATTTAGAAATATGTATTTTTCGGCGAAAAGATCGTTCCCTGACGAGAAATTCCCTCCCTTTGTGTGCGATTCTTTGCCTTTCATTTTCGTGCTGCTTATAATTGTTCCCTTTTTTAAAGGCTTTGTGGGAGTTGAGAATTTTTTCAGGGGTCAAGAATCTAATTGTGTTGTGAAGTGTGTTTCTAGAGTTGTGGGGGGTTTTGGATCTAAGGAGAAAATAACTTTAAAAAAGGTAAATAGTTTGCACAAGGGGATTCATATCATTTTACAATCTAAAATGACAAAAAAATAAAAATAAAAAATGTATTTGTTAAAAGCAGCTAGAAGATGTTTAGGAAATGAAAAAATGGCCATTTTGACCCATTTACACTAATTCAATTTTGTATATCTTGGTCTAGGCTTGTGTATCTTCACAGGCTTGAATTGCCTTTCTTCATTTGTACTTTGCAGTTGATGGCCTGCGAAATGGATATCATAATGACAAAGGCTATGTCTCTAGTTGCCAATGAAGCTTCCATGAGATGGGGAGTGTTTTCCAGTGGTCTTAAGAATCCTATCTACACACAGAACTCGTTCAGATTGGCTCCAAAACTTGATTTAACTTGTCATCGGAAGAGGTGTGTTCTTCTGCACTCGCTCATCTGGGAATTAACATATATCTTTTCCTATATCTAATATGTTTTTCTAAGTGCATATGTATATGTATGTTTTTGTTATTTAAGCCACTGGTTACTAATATTGCTATGTTTGGTAAAACTAGTTGATAATTTAGCTGGTAGCTGATAAGGTACTTTATAATTTATAAGTGATTTTTGAGCTTATAGCTGAAAAGCTAGCTTTTCCAAGCTTATATGATAAAAGTGTTGGGTAAAATTAGCTGATAAGGTAGCTAAGATAAAATTTCAACGAGTTTATTTGAAAAGCTACCCAAATAAGCTTATGAGATAAGCTCGAGCTTTTTAAAAAAGCTCGTCCTACCAACCGAAGCTTATTTGAATACAGGAAGCTTATAAGCTAGCTTATTCGTCTAGCAAACATAGCCATATTATCCTTGAAAAAGGGTATGATTGATAATTTTATGCTTCAAATACAACTTTTATTCAATTAAGTAAAATATTTGTCTCTACAGACGTGCGTGGCGAATATCATTTAGTCTCAACACCGAGGGATTGGCAGCAAATAACGAGCAAGGCAACAACAACAACACAGATGGCGATGATGCTTCTTCTTCAGGCTTAGGGGCCACCCGTTTGGGAAGGATAGTAACTGCAGGTGGTAAACAGCTGCTCAGCAAACTGAACTCGACCCGTAAAAATTTCCCCATGAAAGTATTTCTATTGCTGTTGGGATTCTACACGGCTAATGCACTTGCCACGATTCTTGGGCAGACGGGGGATTGGGATGTTTTAGTTGCAGGCATTGTGGTTGCTGCAATCGAGGGTATTGGCATGTTAATGTACAAAAAGGCCCTCATGGCTGGGAGATTGCAATCTCTGGTTGTGATGGTGAACTACTGGAAAGCTGGCGTGTGCTTGGGGTTGTTTGTTGATGCTTTTAAACTAGGCAGCTGAAGCGCGCTTTTTCTCCTTAGTCATGTTGTATTGCAGTTAGATGAGTTTTAGAGTAGTAGTAGGTTTATTCATTCGCTGTGCAACTATTGTGTTTGTGCGAGGCTTATTGTACAAATCCATTTACAAGGAATTTAAATCTTCAGGATAATACGACATGTGCAGTGCAGTCCTTTTGTGAATTTTGTTGCTTCAAGCATGACAAAGTTTTCCTCTCCAGGTATTCATCGCCTAGTATTGTCTAGTGGATTGGTTGATCATTTGCTACAAAATCAAACTTAAACAGGATTGAAGTTATTACCTAGTATTGTCTAGTGGATTGGTTGATCATTTGCTACAAATTAAACTTAAACAGGATTGAAGTTTAATTGTTAATACCATGGGATTTGATGCATTCAATATCAAAATTAATTGAAGTTTAACTGTTATTACGATATGTTATTAAGTATTTAAAAATTACTCAAATCATATAGTATTAAAGTTGACATAAACTCTATGAACAATACACATCCAATTATTTTATTTGTAGGGTTTGATAAGAAAATCAAACGGTCAACAGTTAATTTTTCGGCTTAAAGTGAATACTGTTTGGTTTTTCCAAATGGTTCCAAATTCTCTGAGTCATGTTGTACATGTTCGGGAATAAATAAATAATATTCAAATTTTAAATGCATTTTTCGGTCAACCAATGAAAAAAATAGAGAATCGTCAACAATATATGATCCGCACTTGGTTTCAACATATCACCACACTAATTCTATCCAACTATCAAATGACAACAGCTCCAAGAAAGGGGAGGAACACGAGTCTATTTAAATTCTCAAGGCAATATTGTTTTCAACAGTTCTGCAGATGAAATATCCTTCTTCAAACAACACATTCACTGTATCAGCTATACCCTTCAATGAATCTGACATAATGGTAATAAGGTGTCAATTAATGGCAATGCCCAAAAACATGTCTGCATAACATGTGAAGATAAAATAAAATTCGGTGTCAGACATTCAAGCAGTTCAATAGCACATAAGCTGACAATTGCAGAAAGAAATAGGTTTATTGAATATCCACCAAAGACAAAACTTCATTCACTTAAACAAACACTAAAGAAGAAGTGTGTTTATTTGCAAGTAAGATATGGTAATTATTGCCGCTGCATATGAATTCCAACTGACCGACTAACCATTTTTGGACTTCACTTTCAACAAGCGTACACATGAACATAAATCAAACATCAAACAACAGTTTTCACTTCTTTTCCCGAAAATGAGTAAATATCTATTCAAACTCTAGGCAATTATATACCATAAATCCATGCTACAAAAAGTTCAAAAAGGCACACCAAATTTTTAACTACATTAGCGAAATGAAACACAAACTACAAATTCACATGAAACTGGTGGATGCTACTAAGTGATATATTGTTTTAGATTTATACCAAGGCTGAATTATATAATCGATTTTCCACTTTTTTAACAACGTATACTCTAGTTGATACATTTTCTAGCCATTTCTAGAAATACTTTAGCACCTTTAACAATAGTTTTGGGTTCTTTTTGGGATAAATTGTGTTTATGTCACTTTCTAAATACCACCAAACCAAACTTTAGAAGGCAATCTAAAAAGCATTGATTAAAAGGCAATCTAAACGATAAGTTTAGCACTAAGGGCAACACTAAGACAGAAGTACCACCAAACCAAACTTTAGGAACCTAACACAGCATAACGAGAAATCTAAATTTGGATTAGGTGGTCGATCACAAATTATTAGAACACCATGGGCACAATTGTTCAGACAAAGAATAGAATTTAGTTTTCAATATAGAGTAAACCGTGCAAGATGAAGTCACATTCCAGTGTTAAACCAAATTATCAATGCAAATATATGGCCATCCTACAAGCACACTGTAGATAATCCAGAAAAATAGATGAGGGTAATGCAACTAAAAGTCAAGATAAAATGGAGGCTAATTCTTCCATATACATTATACTCTCAAAATTAGCTTGATGCACAGGAATGCTGAAAACAAAATCTACTTACCACAGAAAGACAACCCCTCAAATAAACAGGCACCAATCAGCCGGATACTAGTTTTACAACTATGCAAAGCAAGTTGAGAAGAATGAGAGGGACTCTTAAGTACTGGGTCGCATATATTAGGCCAAGAATCTGGCCCTTGAACGAGTTCCGAGTAACCCCAGAATATTCCTGAAAACTCCATCCTCTTGGAGCAAGAAATCGATCTTCATTTAGTATGGCCAGTGCATTGGCAAGTAGCAGACAGCCCTCGAGCAGTGTCCATAAACCCATTTTTCTGCAATTTGAAGAATCTCAGGTAATTCCTTTTTGGGATACATTTTGACATATAAAACTAGTAACCATACAATTGAATATTGTCCGCCCAAACATTATCATTAATGTTGATTTCGACAATTTCACAATCCCAGAGTTTTTTCCTTTCAAAAAAAAAAAAAAATGCTTTGATCATCAAAAAGAGAATTTTTTTCTCACTTTGAATAAATCATTCCACAAGGTTTGCATCCTACTCTGGTACAGATTTTTTATTTTCAGTTAGATATTTGTGCAACAGAATCGTGGCACGATTATAATACTTGATCTGGTTTCATAAGAAAAAATCATGATCATTCATTAGCTTATTTCGATATTTAGATCTTATATTTCCAAAACATTACGCGAATCGGGATTCTTCAATATATAGAAGAGCACACACAAAAAATACAGTTTTCCACTATGAAATTTTCTGAAATCGTAACCAACTAAAAAATTGATAAATTGCAGAACAATTGAAATGCCCACAAACCTGATATTTGAAGCGATTTTCCCTGTAGATCCGCCAATTATAAACCGGATTTAACCTGCAAACACATGCAATATAAGAGGTAGATATGAGTACGGATCAAGATTAGGGGTTCTCTGGTGCCTCGTTTACCAGGGTGGATGGGATTGGACACAATAATCCCATCACCTTTACACATCAGCATATAATATCATATTTACAAAACTTGATACATGTTAAGTCTAATCCAATCCAACATTTACTAGGCATGATAAAATTATACTTGTGTACATAAAATGACATATTTTCTGTTCGAATCGAGTTTTCTGCTCATTTTCAGACGGCGCACCTCAAAACCCCTCCATTTGCTTGGAACGCATTTGCAATAACAGAACCGAACACCATCATTCACAACAATGAAGAAGAGCCATGCTTATCACACTAACAGGACCCTGCTTACTTCNTTACAAAACAAAACCAAGAATATAAAATTAAAAAAAAAAAAAGCTGAAATCTTACCGGAGAATCGCGATTGGGCTTCGAGAAGAAAGAACAATCGGGCACAAGTGAAGAACCCTAGATCCAATTCGTAAACATATTTCCTAAATCTGTAAATAATTAGACATCGGAGAGTATAATGGACATTCTAGCTAATTCTAATTTAGCCTTTTGTTCACAATGTAGCTAACTTGGGCCAGTGGGGTCTCATGCTACCCATTATCACTGGACTATGAAAAGGAGATCATTATATAAGTTGGGCTTAGAGAAAAAAACCCCAAGCCCATTTAAACTCCAGGACTGTTATGCACAACCATGTGCTTGCCCAGTTACAATTTCGAAAACACTGCACTGTACCATCCTGACGAAGAGTTAAAAACGACCTAGCTGCCTTCGTTCGTTCCCCATTTTCAAACAAACAGCACATTTTTAACCCAAAACTCAATTGGAAACTGTGTCTCATTCGCATCCGTCGTGAATCGAAATGGCTGCAAGAAGTGCGCTGCTCAAGTACCTCAGAGTGAACGTGAGCCCTGTGCCACTGCTTCAAAATCCTAGAGCTGGCGTCGGCGGCCTGTCGCCGCTCGTCAGACGCCATTTCTCCGACGAGGCAACGGGCTCTTTCCTTGACAAGTCCGAGGTCACGGATCGCGTCCTTTCCGTTGTTAAGAACTTTCAGAAAGTCGATCCTTCCAAGGTAATATATATTTTTTCCTGGTTATTCTCTACCCGCCCTCCTGACATTGCTTTTTTAGTGTCTAGTTTGTGGAATTTGTTCATGTAAATGGCTAGTTATTCGATCGATTGTTTTCTGTTCTTTTATGCTTCACCTTTTATGGCTTTTATGGTGAAAATTATCAAATGCAACTGAATTGGCGTTGGTACTAAGCTGAGAACTGTCAACTCCATTTCTGTGTTTCAATAGGACCAACTAGGTTGTTAGTCGTCAACTCTCTAATTGAGGTTTATGGTACCTTTATGACAGCTAATACTGGTTTTTCCATGGGTGTGATTAATAGCTGCTAGTGTTTGAAATGTTCTTCATTTGAAATAGAAAACCTAGTTCTTTAGCCGTATGGACAGAACATCTTTCCCTTGTAATTTTAACTGCTACTTTAAAAAGATGGTTTATACATGTTGTCTTCAGTATTCAGTCTTATGTTAAATAATTTGGTACAAATTTTTTTAAAAAAATTGATATTGTATCCTTTCTGTGATGGCTCTGCGCCCTGCGGGTCAATTTTAAGGGTATATACTAGATTTGTTTAGATCTTTTTCAAATTTGTATTTCTTTTCAAGCGTTCCTAAATGAGTGGTGCCCAGCAATTGGTCTGAGATTTTGTCTTTCATGCAATGATTGTACGCTTTGACATTTGTTTTTGTCTGACAAGTTCTATTGTTAAGAGGATACGGGTTCTTTGAAACATTGTTCTTACACACGTCAATAAGGTAATGTGTATTGTTTCTAGTGTTTGTAGCATTCAAAAGATGTGGTCTTAAAAGATAGAGACACTTTATGTTTGTTTATCATGGTTTCTAGCTGCATTCAGGATTGCAAGAACATTCTTACTGTATTGTGGAATTTTGGTGCTCGATTGAATTGTTTATGGGTATTTTTGGGTTGTGCTTGGAGTGAGTTATATATCGTCTGTTTTTTTTTACAGCCCCCTTTAAATGGATGACTAAAGTTGATTATACTAAGCCTACTTCTTGTTAATAGATGGAGACCAACAAATTTTAAGGGACTTGTTTCTATTTTTATTTTATGGTTCTCAACGTATGGTTTTCCTCTAGTTCAATTTTCGGTTTTTTGAGAGAATGAGATGGGTGTATTTCGGGTTCAAGTTAATTGCTTCTCCACTTTCCAATATTCTATTTTAGCATGAATGAATGTTTCAGTTAACATCTGATTTGTTTGTGCAACACAACTTTCTTAGTTTTGGATTTGTAATTCAATGATTGATCAATTGGACATAGAACTATCTGTTTTCTTCTTTATTGAATCTTTCTTATTAGGGGGATATTATGTAAACCAACTTGCCTCCACTAATTTTATTTTCCTTGTCCTAATTGAGTTGCAAACCATAATGATGTGCCGATGGACATAGAAACCCTATTATCCGAACACTGTGACTGGGTAATTTTACATCTAAAAGACAAGTTATCCTGATGTAGGGTGTCTGAGTAGTACTACTAGTACTAGCATGCAATTGCTACAGTTTTTATGAAAACATGTGTCTTATAACACCTTTCAATTGTCTTATTTTCACCTCGGTACAAAAAATTGCAGCACCCATATGGATACCCGCAGAACTTGCTTTCATAATTCTTCTCAATGGCATTTTCTTAGGATTTGCGGTGATTTATAATCTATAAACAGTAATTATATGATGATTTCACTAGATTAAGAGACCATTAATTTTCACTGGAGGTGTCTTGAATTTCTAGGATGTTTCTCCTCACATGTAATCAACGATTAACTATATCTATTTCGGTCTTTTTAGGTTACCCCAAATGCTCATTTCCAGAAAGATCTTAGTCTTGATAGTTTGGACACTGTTGAAGTCCTGATGGCCCTTGAAGAAGAATTTGGCTTTGAGATCCCAGACAATGAAGCTGATAAGATCAACTCAATCAGTCTTGCTGTTGACTTTATTGCATCTCACCCCCAGGCGAAATAGTGGAAAATTTGGTGCTGGCGTTTTGTTTTTCGGTCATCATTCTGGCTATCTATGCATGACAAGTTCTTTATATGTCTGAATATATCACTATTTCGGAAAAAATAAGCCATTTTCAAGCCGAAACATTGCAGATCTTGCTTGTTAAATTAAACCGTCTTGTGCTTTCTTTTAGTTTTCTTTTGGTGAACACATTCCTGTTGTGCGTGATTTGCTGGTGATGGGATCAATGCGAAATTCAAATTGTAATACGCATTTGTGAGATGTTTCGTGCTGGCTTATTATTGTTCTGTAGGACAAATTTGCTGGTTGTTTTAGTTTCTGCTGGACATGGAGTGTTTGGGAAAAAAGAAAAAGAAATTAAGGAGATTATTATTTGTTTGCTCTTACATGCAGTGTTAAATACATATTCTACATGTGGTTGGATCCGTATTTTACCTTTTAAACATTATTTTCTTTGGGTACTGTACACCTACCGGTAACTTTTTAAATATTATTTGTGCTAATATACCTGTTAAACTGAAAGATAACAGCCAACAAAATAGTGAATATTGGATTTTTTTATAAGTTATATTTTTAATTAGTTTTAATTTATTAATTAAGTTTGTTTTATATAAGATATGATAATAAATTTAATTGATATTTACTAAAATCGAAAAAAATAGCAGTAAAATTGTTGAATCAAGTGAACTGCACACTAGCAGCTTGCTTGGCATGATTCTGTTACGATATTGAAAAACAATGTTTACATGCATTACTTCCTATGCATGTGCCCCTCTCCGTTGAATAAATACTATTTTCCAGACACGCTAATATATTAAATCATTCATACAAGATAAATCCATTCAATGACATGATGTAATTGTTGACAAAATAAGAAGAAACGATCAAAATATATGATACCATTTTACCATGCTNTTCCTTTCCAGTTGGGTCTAGAATCTCAGCAATTGACACAAGATCTGTCGTTCACACTAGGGACGGTACTGTAATTAATCAATTCAAGTGTTCACGCAACGCTGTATGTTCAGTACCTCGTCCTGCTTGAATCAACTGTTGGATATAGTTTAGAGATTCATTTGTTAAATTTTAAATTTGATATGAGTCATGAAAAGGCATGAAAATATAAAATTAAATATAGAAAAGATGTTGTTCTCTAAACCTGTTCCTCAACTATTGGCTATAATTTTCCTACTTGTATTTTGCATAAAAGTTTGTAAATAATAAAATAATATAATTTGTATCTTCAAGTGTAATAAAATAAAAGTTGGTTGTACAAATGACCTGGATTTTATATTAAAAGCTTGCCTTTTGCGTTATTTACGCTATTTTAATCATGTATAATTTTAATGCCTTGTTTTTATTAAATTTTTCGAAAGAATAGTAAATATGTAAAAGTCAAAATCATTCTACTCATTATTCACCCACGTCCACTAAAGAAGAACAGGATCTTCAATTATTATTATTATTATTATTATTATTATTATTATTATTATAGTATTTGAAAATACTAAAACTACCATGGGGAGAAGCTAAAATTGCTCCCATCCAATGCACGCACGCATCTTCAATGAAAGAAATATCTATATCCACATACCACATTGCAAAATCCAGATTCTCGAGTGTATTCAAGGCTACTACAATCTCAAAGGAAATTTGAGAACAAAAAATCACTTCTCAAGTACAGTTTCTCTTTCTCCTTTGTCCAGATTTGCACATTCTTGAAGGACCAAAACAATACACCGATGCAAATTCATAACGAACAGAGATGGTTTTTAAAATTCTACAAGTCCGTGCAGATCCCACACACAAGCCCCTCGTCTATCACCTCTTGCGATGTTATTGTCAAAATCGTCAATCAGCTTCAAGTTCAGCTCCAAACTTCTCCAGTCTATCAGTCTCTTCTTCCAAATCCCGTATCAAAGCATGGTTTACAGATCCATCATCAATGCTTGCCTGTATCTGTTTTCCACCAAACCTGAGGAAGGCCAGAGTAAATGCATAAATAAGATGACCTTACATTGTTATTTGTTAGTTATGTCTCTCACTGGATGCAAGTTTAAGAAAACAAGATATCTAATGTCAAAGGCTATGTTCGGCAAAACTAGCTAATAAGCTAGATAGCTGATAGCTGATAGCTGATAAGCTAGCTTATAGCTTATAAGTGATTTTCGAGCTTATGGCTTATAGCTTATGACTTATAGCTGAAAAGCTAGCTTATGTTTGGTAAAAATTAGCTGATAATAGCTGAAATAAAAATTTCATCGAGCTTATTTGAAAAGCTAGCCAAAGAAGCTTATCTCATAAGCTCGAGCTTTTTAGAAAAGCTCGTCCTACCAAACGAAGCTTATTTGAATCCAGGAAGCTTATAAGCTAGCTTATTTGGTTACCAAACATAGCCTAAAAAGGAATTTAAATTCCATTGCAACAGGATAACAATTAGTTTTAAGATAGAAGACGGAATGATTCAGTTCCATTGTGTAAGAACGCTCTCAGAACAGATTTAGTGGAGTTGTTATTAAGAAATGGACTTATATATTACTCCAAAATATATTCAAATCCACCAATTCTCATTAAACCATATAAAATTTTGGCAGATAAGGTAAAATATTATTTGACTGTTTGATCAAATATTTTCCCAACATCCTACAAAAGGGTCTCCATGCCACCATGGATTTTGAGTAATTATCTAACTATTTGACTTATTAGCTAAAAATACGCAATTTTTCACATGAAGAATAACTATAATTGAAAAAAAAGGAAAGGTAAAAGGAGTGCAAAGATTACCATCGGCCATTCATCAACTCTATACACTTATGAGCATCCTTGCTATCCTTATACTTCACCAACACAACACCCTGCGGGTTATTCTCACAGACCTAAAAAACAATAGAAGAACATCGGAATTTGATGTAAAAAGTATACTTGTATGTGAACATTTTTTAACTTAATTAGTGGCTTTAATAGTAATAAAGTGACCACACCTTGACAGAATCTAAGGGACCAAGTTTGCCACACTCGTCACGTACATCCTCCTCTAATTCGGATCGCAAATTCTCATCAGCCTACATAGTGTAAGGACATGGTTCAAGGATATCATACTTCAGACAAAATATGGAAAATCATAATTCCTGCAGTATGAATGTATTAGAACTATACATGTCTACTCACTGAAGAAATCCATATAATTAAATAATCTGCTACAATATCTTTCAATATTATTGACAAAATATGGAAGAATCATAATTCCCGCAGTATGAATGTATTAGAATTATACATATCTACTCACTCAAGAAATCCATATAATTAAATAATCTGCTACAATATCTTTCAATATTATTGACACGGATACGACTTAAGATTGTTAATAAATGAATTTCATTGAATTTATCACATCAACAAAAATACTCTTACCACTTAATGTGTTTACTATTATGCATTGAAATAATAATTCATAGTAAAATCACTAACTAAACAAATCATGCATTTGTATTACCCTCAATTCTGCAGGGGTGAACATGTAGCGAAGAATAACAGTTGCTGGAATCGACACCTTTGCATCATCACGGCCACCTGATAATTAGTATTGAACAAACATTAAAAGCCACATCAAGTAAAATAACAATATGAAAGTGTAAATTAGGGCTTTCACGAAATTAAAAAAATAAAATAAAATAAATAAAATAGCCAAAACAACAAGACACACATTAAAAGATCTTTAACATATACCGAGAAACAAAGATATTTTGATGTGCATCAATCATATGAAAGTACAAAATATTCAAGAACACAGAAGCACTACTACATTTTGAAGGTACAGAGAAATATTAGCATACAGTTCTCCACAAGCTTATAGAACTCATTAGCCACAGATAGTTCCATGGAAGGTTATTGAGGAAGAGAAAAAAAAAATTAATAAAAAGAAAAAAGGAAACCGATTACACTTGATCAAGCAGTGAAAGCTCATAAGGTGCTTTTGGAAACCAATAAGGCGGGCTATCCCCATGCTGAAATGACCTACCCCATCCCAGCATTTTCTGCTCGACCTTCTGATGCTTTCTCTTCTTATTCTTGTCCACTTGCTTGGATACAAACTTATCACCTGGGGATTAAAGACAGACTCGATAACTCAAAATAAAAGAAAAAATAGGGAACACCACACAGTTAGCAAGATGTTGAAATAACCATTCATTTATGTCCAAAAAGGACTCAATAGAGGAGCCGAGTTGTCATATTTGTAACTTCAACCATGAATATCAACAATTAAAAAAAGTTCCGAGTAAAATTAACACAGCAATAATAATAGTAGCAAAGTTTCGTACATTACCTTTTTGCTCAAACTTAGCTTCTGAAACTGTCATGGGAATCTTACCATCCGACCTAAGAGGTGCCCCGTCCAAAATCTGGATAGCTAGAGGTACAGATGCTTGCTAGATAAAAACCAAAAAATAGATCAATAGTTAATAAAGACAGCGAGCGTAAAAACTTGAAGAAAGAAAAGAGAACATTTGATAAGCAAGAGTATGATCATAATGCAATCATAACTATAAAAATAATCACGATTATTCAACTTGCTAGATAACACCTAAAGAATAGATCTATAGTTAATAAAGACAGGGAGCGTAAAAATTTAAAGAAAGAAAAGAAAACATTGATTAAGTAAGAGTATGATCATAATTCAATCATAACTATAACAAATAATCACAATTATTCAACCTATTGCCGTTTTACTCTAAGAAAGTAACATTACCTTAAGATAAGTTACTAGAGCATCACCCTTCTTTCTTCCAGTTTTTTTGTCTACATAAATCTTCACCCGAGGCCTTTTTGTTTCAGGGTCCTAAAGAAATGCCGTTATTAAATGCAATATATAAAAATGTAAAAGGAGAAGAAAGAAAGGGACAAAACGTTATATCCATAAACCGTGCTAATACAACATGCAATATCCGAAATGGAACATAATTTATAAGGAAGGAGTGAGGGCAGCGATATAAAAGGTTATAACTTAAAAGAGTAAATACATTATGGAACATGTCTCTGTATGGAGCTTGACTACCAAAGCATAGCAAACATAATCCCATACATTGTCAAATAATAATCAGAAATTGTAACACTTCAATCCAAATAGAGGAAATGGATATCCAAAATATTACACACCTCCTTTATGATACCACACTTGGAGAAAACTTCAACTATCTGCATCACACCCAAGTCAGTTTCATTCTCAATAGACGATGGTCATTATAGAAAATGAGCACCTTATATCCAAAACAAGGGTCATATACCCAAGTGAACCAGTTAAGTTAAAGAATCTTTAACAAATTAATATATTAAACCACTTACCTCTTCAGTAGTAACGTCCTCAGGCAAGCCGGTGACATAAACATGAGTATTTACTTTTAATTCAAACCAAGAATCAGGAGGTTTGTTGGCTTCCTAAAACACCAATAAGCACAAATCAAAAATAAAAGGGATAAATTCAGTATATGTATATGACACAACTTTAAAAACCATTACTTTGAATCCTTAGATCAACATAATAATTTCGTGAGAGACCACTAGGCAAAAGAGCTTCAACAACAAACATAAAACAGAAAATGAGGAAAGGGACCAACCTTCTTATCCGCACCTTTCTTATCATCTGTATTATCTGGCGACTTCCGTTTGCTGTTTGGCTTTTTTTCATCAGCTTCAACAGCATCTTTAACCTCTTTTTTCACTGTCAACTCATCAGTATTCATAGTTGGAAAAACTTCCTCTTCTTGCACAAAAGTCATATCTTCAGGAGCATACTCATCTTTCGGAGGTATGTCTTCCTGTTTAAGTAACAACCAGAAGACTCGGGTTATGGAGGGGACTAATAAAACATTATACATCAAAGAGACTTGTATATGTCATAAACAGGAAGAAAAAGAAGAGAACACATCACACATGCGCGCACACACACGCATCAGAAATACAAAAAGAGAATGGAAAAAAAAAAAGAATAAATATTTTTGAATCGTCAGTAACCAGACAAAAAATAAATGGACAAAAGAGATATATGATGAAATGTTCAGAAAAATCCAATACTTTACAAATTCAAACAAAAAACAAAGAACTTCATAAAGCAAGTCATATGCGACAACGTCCCACAGTACAATTCAAAACGAAATAGCGTATTTCGCACCAACCTGAGGTACCCAAGCTTTAAGAGTTCGATCCCACTTATACGTAGTTCCATCATCATCGGTGAATTCTTCTTCACCCTCAGGTGGCGTCGTTGGCCTTTCGTTTTCAACATTTACGCTAACCTCAGCCTCTGCCTCCGCTTCTGCTTCACTAACCTCTCTTTGCCACTTTTTGAACTCATCTTCCTCTTTAGAAGTGTCAGGCACTACAAAATTATTTCAACCACAAGATACATCAAAAACAAAGGTTAAGACACTGACCTCTCTTTTACCACAAGACTTAGTTGTCTTTCTATGAATTCCCCGTCGAGTTTTCTTCCTTTTACAACTTGCACGAACAAAAGAGCGTGCATGCTAAGTTTATATAAACCTCAGTTGGTTATTTATCTAATACATTGACAAGTTATTAGTAGGTCAAACCACCTAAGTAGTTTTCTAAATTAAACCAAAAACCTTAATTGCGAAAAACATCACAAACCCAAATCTGGTGCAATTTCCTGTGGAGCATTAATAGACAACCCAGGAACTGAAAATAGCGGCTGCCAGTCACTGCACCCTTCCGACCATACAAGTGTATTCTGGGTCAAGTATCCACTTGAATAATGCTCTGCCCAAGCAAATTCATCATGCTTTAGTCACACAATTTTCACTATCACGAAAGAGCATGCCATATACATGAACTGATTGTTCCCCACGCCAAGTCTATACCTTAGCTAGTAAAATTGGAATTCAACAATGGGAAATAAGGAAAACAAGAATAAAAGGCAACAGAAAACTAATTGAAGAAGTAACATTAAAAGCTAAAGGCTAAGAATGAAACTACAGAGGCAAAGAAAAACCATAATCAGCATCCAGAAAATTGAACAGATAACAACACTCACCCTGCAACTCAGAGGTAGTGTACGGGCCTATAAGTTGTTGGTCCAATCCAAGAATATACCAACCCACTCTAGTACTGGTTTCTGTAATTNCTTGGATTTCTCATTAAACATTATTGAGGGGGAAAAACAGAAAATTGGTCGACTGAAAGTGGGTCTAACATATAATCATCTCAGAAGACAATAACGCAATCTAAGCAAACAAATTTATCATGAAAGCAAGCATGCACGGACCGGAGATTTGAGGTTGCGACGACATCGTTCCAGGGATCTTCTGGTAGTTTCGCGTTCTTTTTTGCCCCTTTGCTCGTCTGCAGATACTCGACGAGTCGATAGCCTGTGAGTATATAACGTTGGGCCAATTTTGACCCGTTTAAAATACTGAGGGGTCCTGGTGTGAACTTCTCCTTTGGGCCTCTTACCAAAATGTATGATCTGAAACCCAATATGCTTTTCTATTTATATACTATTCCTAGTAAGAAATGGGAGGAAACACATGGAAGCCCAGATGAAGCCCAAGTGAGGTTCCACCACGCTAACATCAGGCCAAGCTTTGGGACTCCCAAAACCAATTGGTGGAAGGTGGAGAGACCCATTAGACTTATAAAGTGGGTCTGTTTTCCATGTATAGATGATGTGAGACAACTCACAAGAGATATTCTAACACTAGAGAAAGTAAAACTTGCAGAAACTGATTTATTGGACTGGTCTTCTATGGTTAGCCATTACCAATTGAATTGATTCACTGATATTGTTATGCTTGTGTTTTCTTGTGATTTTTTTTTTCATGTGATATATTATATTCATAATTATTAAAAAGTACTATCCATTTCGTTACTAGAGTACCTCATATTCTAATAGAATATCAAGTTATATTATGGTAGCAAAAAAAAAAGGTCGTTTGTCTTGAGTTGATGGTTTCTAGTACTACATCTTGATGCATAATTTCATAACTTCTTTTTCGTGCACTTTGAAAATTGTTCAAAAAGTTTTTGTCTCATTTCGCTTATAGCATCTGCGTAAATTTTGCAGACACAAAGGAGTACCAACCAAAGACCGATGGATGATCATTTGGAGTAGGTTAATACTTGTATTATGAGCCCCATTTGAAGTTGTTGATGTTATGTTTTGGGCTATTCAAGATTTGGCGAACATTGGGCTTTTGTACTGGAGAGCATTTTGCGGTTGGGAGTAGTTCAAGATATTAACCATTAGGCTTTTGATTGGAAGATTTATTAAAAGATTTAAAATTTATAGATATTAAATTTACAAGTTTAAATCTCTATATTTAAGGATGATAATAGAAGTTTGAAATCTCTATATTTAAGGATGATAATAGAAGTTTGAAGATTTCAAATCCATAATAAATTTTAATCATTATTTTGTAAGATTTTAAATGACTCATCAAACTTAATTATGTGAAAATCACTTTTTAGTCCACCGTTGACACGACAACACCAGTATGACTTTTCATTCAAATTCATCACCACAGTAGGTCATTAAACAATAAATTGTATAGTCATTTCAACAAAAGATCAAATTAAAAATGTCGAGGGACTCTATATAAAGTACTTCTCCAAGTAATAACTTGAGTATCTTTATGAAACCATATTGTAACTCAAATGTACTACATAATAAACCTTTTCTCGACATCAGTAACCACCTTTGTATTTTCGTTCTATTTGATAAGAATCAGGAACAAAAAAGAGCCAAGCCAACCAATAACTAAATATAACTTAAATATTACAGTCCCATATACATACATACATATAAATACGATTATACAAAAGATAGTAAGATGGAATTTTTCAATCTACAGACTTTAAAATTGGTTAGAAATGACGGCAACAAATCTAACAGACAGCTACAAACTTTGAAACATAAAGGGGAGAGAGCTAGTTTTCAAATCCCCACAAAAAGTATTTAGAAGTCTGATTTCATAAGCCTCGTTCGAGGTTTTATTGTGATGTCATCATAGGGATTAGGCTGCTCTACATGAATGTAGTCTCGTGTTTTAAGGACCTGGAAAATTATTCAAACAAAGTATAAGATGATCATTTTCAGTTGAAAAACACAAAAAGGGTACCCCAAGTAGACATACCAAGAAAATAGTATGAACAACCCAAAAGAAACACTTATGTGAAATCAAAATCACTAGGAATAATGATAACTCGGACAAAGAAGCTCCTTTCATCACATCTAAATTATCACTTACATGATACTAAGATTGAGGTTTTAAGGAAAGCCTTTTATTTGAGAAAAGAGTATGAACTTACCAATGTCTCGAAAAACATTCTAGATGCTTCCTTGCGTGATTTACCAATTAAAAGTTTGTCCATGGAAAGAGACTTCCTTCCACTTTCTGCCTCTTTAACAAATGCCGACTGGAGGTACTTGGAGACAGCCCTATCAAAAGTTTAAATGAAATTTAGAGGTCAACCATTATGCCTATTGATGACTCAAGCAAAGGGAAAAATATTGTGACATAAAAGGAAAATATATATATATATATATATAAATAAAGGACAAAAAAACATGCAGCACAAGGGTAAGGGATTTAGAGTTGAGTTTTTATAATTCATCCAGAATATCAGCTCCACTATATCAGCTTTAAGTTCTCATAAAGCAATTTAAATAAACAATTTAACCTTTATTGTTACAATTTCAGTCACAATACCAAAAAACAAAAATAAGAAACATGGGTAAACAGAACTCAAAAGTCGAATCAATCAATATTTTCACTTAACCAATAGAAAAATCGTCTTTTGGTATCAGAACTGAGAAAATTGTTTAAATGACGACTCTTTTATAAGGGAAACCCATTGCAATGTAATTGGAATAGTTGAACTCAAAAATATTACCTTGTACGCGAAGACCACCCACTGTTCTCAGTATATTGTGCCTCTTCATCATCAGGCATATGATCATCAGCTATTTCAGTTAGCTCGTCATCATCAACATTGAGAAACGCTGAAAGCTCGGAACATATATAGTTAGGCATGCATGGTCCTTAATAACCCATGACAAGTCCAAGTATATGCTATAATTATCCAAAATTACCGAAAAAGGTACAAACGTAATGGCAACTGAATATAACAAGCTACGATTAGAAGATATTAGCTATATTTTGGGACTGTGTTTCTACTACTATAATATAAACAGGAGGTTAGCATGATAATTGAATTGGAACTATATTATTATATAGGCAACTGATCATTAATTACAATTCACTGATTTATCAAACCAAGCTCACAGAAGCAAAAATGAAAAGCACGTAGCTATCCTTGAATTATGTTCTAAACTTAGGTAACTTTGCTGCGACATTATGTTTGCTTTATTATTCCATCATCCGATGAGCAAAATATCAGACCAAAAAAATCAGAACAAAGCGACTAACAAACTGTTTGACAAGATAATTGGAAGGTCAGTGCACTTGACATTAATAATGACATCGTTGTCAGGCAATATACACCCTAGTGCAAACATCAAAACTGTAAGATAAGAGGGGTAATTCGCATTTGATGTTTCTTGTGGATTACTTCTTGATCTTAAATCACACAATTCACAAAACTTTACAACTTTTTAATATAATTTCCATCTACTTATTCTGTTGTTCCCATCTTAAAAGGTGACAATAGGATGATCTAGCCGGAGTCAGTAAGCAAACCTGTATCATTTCCAGCACTCGCATAAAATATGTCCTGCATAACAAAGAAGCTGAACTGTCAACAAAAAAATTAGAAAAAAAAATAAAAAAATCGATATAATCAAACAATATGCAGCAATGTCATTTTTTTATCACTAATGTTTTCATCGTGGTGAAACCCACATTTAATAATAAAAAATGGAAAAATAATCAAATTTCGCAATGACCAGAATTCAACTTACGCCTGGATAATTCATGTCAAAACCACAAGTTTCTGCATCCATCACATTGGGTTGATAAGCTTCCGAGTGATTTGGATTTTCTGAGGCATTAATGAAACCATCATCTAGCATGCCCTCAAGCACTTGATGTGAAAACTCCAATTCTCGTTGTTCTTCATTATAAAATTCGGTCTCAAGATTATGCTCCAGCTCCCTGTAATTAACATCGGCTCCCTTTTCAACAGCTGCATCTTCGTTCATATCCAGAAAAATATCATCCTTTTCTCCAACTTCCATAACCAACTCCACATTAACGTCATCATCCTTCTTCGCCATTTCTTCTCTGGCAATTCCCTGCTCATCATAAATATCGGCACAATCCAACTCAGCTGAGGGCACAACATCCAATGCATCCACATTCACGTGAGAATTTCTCTTGCCAGACTCGTCTAAACAGCCAGTTTGATCCACATCATCCTTAGCATGTCTGGTGAAGTCTAATTCCTTAACTTCAGGAATAGAAAGATTATCAGAAACAGCATCTGTGGGACCCGCTCCTAAGTCAGCTGCATTCACTAAAACCTCATCCACTGAAGCATCTGTGCGCACATCATCAGTAGGTTTAGTTGGCTCTTGACTGAGACTATCATCGCCTTTTGTGTCGTTGACTCCCTCCAGAATTATTTCATTTTGTGGCAGAATCTCACGGAGACTAGTCGGTTCATTCTCTTTCGCGATTAAAATCTGATTGTTTACCCCTTGCTCACTTGTTTCTATTACATTATCACCTTCGGGTGCTTCATCATAGTTTCCATTATTAGAGGATGTCAAATGCACTCGAGCCACAGTTTCAAGAGGAACATCAGATTTGTTGTCATCCAGGGAAGCTAAATTTGGTCCAAAAGTACTTTCAGGGGTAGCAAGAATTGTGTCGTCTTGGGAAGGCAACCTTGCTTCAGCCAAAGTTTCAAGAGAGGGACCATTTGGATCATCTTTGCATACCCTGATGCGACTCAAATCACAAATCTGACTATGCAAAGATGTCAATTCAGCTGTCATGCCTACAAAAGCAAAGGAGAAAAATTTAAGTGACCACCTCACAAGCTGATATAACGCAGAAATATTTAAATAACAAAAGGAAAGGACACATGCTCCTCTTACAGTTTGTTTAGTCAGGACTGACATGAAACAGAACCCATAGAAGACCACCAGAAAAATACATAAGCAAATGCTATTTCGCTGCATATTAGATATCAACGACCACTTCATGTAAGTTAGATGTTATGCTACGTTACGTTTCAGCAATCAAATACAATTTATTTATTTTTTCGAGCGTTTAAGGTGAAAGTAATAAAAGTAACATTTCCTTCATGTTTTGAAATACATTTTGTCTGGCTACTGATGTCACATCAGACTGTTTTAAAGAAATTAGCTATAACGTTCACAGAGTGAGGAAGATAGGTCTTCGTGTATGAGGATGGTGAGACCAATGCAAACTCTTTGCAGCAAAAAAGAGTTCTGTTTTGCTGGAGCATATCCATACATTTCATAAGTGCAAAGATATATTTGTTGGTACATATAGTTTGATAGAGATGAAAGAATGGAAGGATATCACTTTTAGAATATCTTAGACAATTTTTGGGATCCTAGTTGGTGCTTAATCTTAGGTATCTTGACTCATTTATTATTCCTCGTATGCATTTATTCTCTTACCCCTTTCTATTCATAATTACCATTTCATATTAGCTATAGTTCAGTGAATAAGATGGGGTTGACAATAGGATAAAGCCCTTTTACATGTTTACTACACCTTTCGAAAACTTCTACAAAATACAATCATTAATAAAACCATTCACAAACAAGTCATACACCAAAAAACAATGGAATTTAGAAGCCAATGACAAAAAACTGTGGATGTTAAAGGGAAAGTTGTAAAAAAAATTCAAAACCATATAATCACGATGCTTGCATCATAAACTCACCACTGAATACAGTCTCGACAAAAAATTCGTCTTCCATATGCTGTTTCTGTATCACTGAAATTTCAGACAGCGTACACGGAGCTTTCTTTCTAGCACGACGTATGTCTTCCGTATTGGTCAGCTGAAGTCGTATCGTGCTATCAGGCAACAGAGACAACATAAATTCCAATTGTTTTTCAAACATGGACCAGCAAGCAAATAATTTCAAGCCAAAACAATGGACGAGAAAATTTGCTGTAAGGTAATAAAATGAAACAGATTCATCAGTCAACTACCACCTATGTGAAGGACAAAAACAAAGAATGCTAAATGCAATTTACATCACCATAATTGGCTTAGCACTCAATCCATCCTCACAAAATGTTAACACTAGGAAGAGAACATAAATAAACAGCAGGAAAAAGATGATAATGTTATCAGCAAAAGGAAGGACATACTCGCCGTGCAAAACCATGGTATCATCCATAAGCACTTTCCTTTTGGGAGCTCTAGAACGAAGAACGGAACGACCACGCTTCATTGAGGTCACCTCAGTGAGTGGAGGTGTTGGCTTTACTTTCAAAGCTGACGATTTTCTACCAACTGATATAATAATTCTTATCAAACCACATAATACTCCAAGGGAGGTAAGATAAGATATATACCAAGACACACATATATACATCCCTTTCTATATATAAATGCAGAGTTTCCATAGTCTACATGTTAAATTTTGTGCTTCGTAATCGTATGAATCCATTTTTTGTGCTTCGTAATCTTGTGTCAATTTTTTATGCATCGAAATAGTCCAAGGACTATATTCATACCTAAGAGGACTTTTAAAATTTCAAGACATTTGTCTAACTTAAATTGTAATACTAACTTTTTTTCTACTATCAATTTTCCACAAATGATAATCAGCATTTGACGATCTTCTATTTTAGACATCCCTATTGCGTAAAGTTAAAAAAAAAAAATCATATCTACCTTTAAAAACGAAATAAGGAATATCTATCAATCGTAACTGGAAAATAACAAATTTATTATTATCATTAAAATAATTACCTACCAAGCCTATTATATGATGTGAGAAAAATTATTATAACAGATAACCGGTTAAAATAAAAATAATAATGCAATGTTTTCAGAAGTATTTGAATATTTAAAATAAAATATTACTTTTGAAAAAAAAAATAAAGTAGAAATTTCTTATTCAACACCCATGTATATAAGTTTTTATTCTTTATCAATTAAATAAATTTATCTATAAACCTATTATATGATGAGTTAAAAAATTATTTTAGAGCGAGCAAGTCTTAAATGACTGGTGTCTATTTTTTTATTTTTTTAAGTTTAAAAGTTCTTAATTACAACAGTGTACTAGTATACATATGAATGAATAGAGATCATTAAGAAAGACTGATGTACCTAAAATGGATGACAACAAATCATCGTAATCCGGAACCGATCCTGCGGTTCTAGCACGGACTTGCCTCGAGGATTCAGCTGAATTCAGACTCTGCTCTGTTAATGTACTTTCAGTAAAACTACGCTTTCTGCCTGCAGCGCTCTTGCTCCCGGCATCACCTCCATCGAACCCCACAAATTCACTCGTGTTTATCTCTACTGGCATGTCTATATGTGAATCCACATGGCCTTCTGGTACTGAAAGCAATTTCTCAGGAGCAGAAAACTCATGTTCCGCTGAGTTTTTTAAATCCTCAACCGACCTATATTGTGAATTTGCATTATGTACTTGAGCATCCGCTTCCTCAACAATCACTAAGGTATCTTCACCAGATGCAAGCTCTGGCACTTGATTTTCTTTCTGGCTATGCTCAGGGTTACTATTTATGCCGTACTCTTGACCTGATATAAATGCACCCGCCTCAATATCAGATCAATGATTATCTAAAACAGCAACATAACCCTTTAAATAATTTTACCCAGAATTAGTTCGCATATGTAATCTACAGGTTTAAATATTCTACAGAAGCATGTTTTACAAAATCAGTTTTGTGGTTTTTTAATTTCGAGTTGCATGTGCGCTTGATCGACAAACCTGACTCCATTGTGTTTTCCCCTTCACAGATTACAAAGGAAGGAGCATTGGACTTTGCACCAGCATCAGTTGAGATGCTATCCCCAGGCTTTGTGACATCAGGATTTTCCACGACAGAATTGTATTGCCCAGATAGTATAGTTACGCTAGACACCTCTTTATCACGAGTCTCGATATTCACTGAGTTCTCAGTTTGCTGACAAGCTCGAGTTTCAGGAGCTTCTAGGAATGACTCAACCTGATTTTTCGGAGCCAATCCCGGACCATCATCACATGATTCCTGCTGATTAATAGCTTTTCCTACACAGTTAGAGACATCAACCGCAGGCGAAGCTAGATCTTTTAAGGGTACACCTTCAACAACTTGCTGGTCACTGCTAGCCAATTCAAAGGTTTCACCAGCATTTATTTCCGTGTCAACTTCACCGGGACCTTGATAGTTATTACCAGTCTTGTTAACTGAGACAAAATACAATTTGCAAGGTATTACGAATTGAATATAATGAAACACTCAACAACTACTAAATACTCACCCTGTCCTACAAAAGATATGGGACGTTCTTATTTTGGGTGTGCTAATAGTTACTGGTTACATCATAAGTATGAAATATATTTTCCACTTCCATATATATTCCTATTCAATTTTTTGTTTAAGTCCTTCCAGTGACGGAGCTGTAGCCTAGTTAGGGGGCACTGGGCCCCCCTGAAATTTTCCAAATAAGTAGGGGCATTTTAGTAAATTTGAATAATATAAAAAAAACTAGGTAAAATCAGATGAAAGCTGGAACAATATGCCTAAAAAAACCCTTGAGATTTGAGAAACCGATAAAGAAAAACCAATTCGAGAATTTCATTTTTAATATGCGCTTGGATGAAAACTTCTCGAATGTAGCCAATATTGGTGATCTTGCTCAAAAGATGGTGTCTACAAGAAAACATGATGTTTTTTCATTGTTTGCTTGTTGATTAAGTTGTTGTTGGTTTATTGGTTTCCAGGGAAAGAGCTTTTTCGGCAATGAAAATCATCAAAAGTACACTACGTAACCGAATGGGCTATGAGCTTTTGAATGATTGTTTAGTGATATACATCGAGAAAGAGTTTCGGAATGTTAGCAATGAGGTTATCATGCAACAATTTCAAAACATGAAAAATAGAAAAGAAATGTTGTGACCTCTCAATGTTATCGTAAGTTATTTTGTAATACTCGGATATATTTCTTATATTTATTTAGTCGATACTTGTACTAATTTATTTATTTTGAGTTAATTTTTTTTTTGTTATTATTAGTTGGGCCCCCCTCGATAAGATTCCTAGATCCATCACTGAGTCCTTCGACTAACATTTTCATGAGCAGTCAATAAACAATTAACTGTGCACGGGAACATAAAAGCATGTAGGAAACACTAAGTAAATGGTGGGAGGGGGGGATTTTCTCTTTTAATGCAGCTCTAAAAAAATGCCCAAGTGATGTTGAAATTCGAAGGGGAAAAAAAGAAGACTTATAAACAAGGTGTTGGTTTTTATTTGCACAATTTTTCAAACTCGGAATCAATTCACCATTATCCTCGTAGATAAATAATATATATGCACACATTCCTAAATATATATGTATATATATATATGTACAGCTTGCACAAAACAATATACGTCCAGCAAATATGCATATATGTCACTGGAAAATTTTCAATTAACTAGGTGGTTTCACCTTCTTGGACAGCTTCCGTTTGCAAATTCTCCAGAAGTTGGCCATTAGCTACCTCCATCCCATCAGTGAATTCTGAAATAGGTCTTATGTCTTCATCATGACCTAATTTATGATTACTCAGGCCAGATGCTGCCTAGGATTTCTCAATAACACAAAAAGGAGAAAAAAAAAAAAAAGTGAAAGGAAGTAAAATGTTACCTTCTAGATGAGATTCGCGTTGTGAATTTGATTCATTGATTTCCAATCTACTAGAAATGGGACCATTCTCCTCGTGTTGCCCCAGAGGTACAGCATCGGAAATTTTATCCTCTCGGGAACACCAATCCGCCTCTTGTTTATCCTTGTAAGGAACATTATCTTCGTTCTCCCTCACTGTTGATTCCATTAAATGATATTCCGTTTCCAGATGGTCATCACATGCTGAGGCACCTTTGGCATTAGATAAATTTGGTTCCTCCACAAGTCGAGGAGTGCAAGGAGCCTGTGCATAGTCCATGAGATCATCCGGTTCATCAGCATCATCGACCTGCACATAACATTGTGAATCATTATACAATTTCAGGAAACTGTGACCCAAGCGAACTGAATTAACAGTTAAAGATTTTTTACTTCTATTTTCTCTCTCTCTCTCTCTCTCTCTCTCTCTCTCTATATATATATATATATATATATATATTCTCGAAAAGCCGAAACATCAATCCAAGGTCATATAAACAATTAAACACAAACTGCCACAATTATACACCAAAAGGCTTGTAGAGGAAGAAGAAACTACCATTATATCTGAATTTGTGGCCCTATCTATACGATGTTCATCATGCTTGAGGGGTGATGTTGGTTGGTAAGAAGCCTGGGGATCAGCACTGTAATCAAAAAGATTATGGCATGAGACACTTATGGTTCAGAATTTATCATGAATTAATTGGCATGACCTAATCATCAAGGTCGTGACCCTGATAGTGTCCAGGTAATAGAATGAGAAATTCACGAGGACAGAACAAGACAAATACTTGTAGCACTGCTAGAAATTTTGCTCAAATACCTCGAATAGAAAAAAAAATATTAGCTTTAACAATCGTGTCGTTAAGAATAGATATGTTCTCTGTGAAAGTAGAAACCAAAAACGAACTGAAAGCATCACTACTACGGAAAATGAGGAGTTCTATGCGAATAAAAAAATTAAAGTAAAGCCAACCTCTCATTGGCATCGCCTGCAGCTCCAATTTTGTTCATAAACAGTTCCTAGAGGCAGGTGTCAAATAAAAACAGCTTGTAAGAGACGAAGTTTTATTGTACGCTAACAATGATAGATAACAACAATGCTAGTTAGACCTTTCTGTACAATATTTCCAATATATGACTTCATATAAAACATGGCAAAGAAAAATCAATTTTTTTTACATTGATGAATACAAGCACATTTATTTAATGAATCCAACCGTTTCTGCACAGGGATGCCAGACCATACTCCCCCCAACCACAAAGATAGGCATGTTTGCCTTTTCACGAAGTTTAAAAGAAAAACATAAATTGTTGTTGGAAAAGTCTATACCCCTCGTATTAATAGTCGTAACACTTCTCTGATGATATTTCGTCGATATCCATGTAATCATTTAGGGGCAAAAAGAGACCATGATATTTCAACTACCATATATGATATATCAAATACCAATGAGAGAAACCAAAATCATAATGTAAGATCTTTGTGAGATAGAGGGAGTACTCAGTCAGGAAAATCAAAACTGCATAAAAATATAAACTCACACTCCACATGAGAGCATAGAATGCGCATACAGAGAACATAAATACACTACCATATCATGTTGAATTACATGAGAAGCTTCCGTACTATCATCATCCCATCTTCACACCAATCAAAAGAAGCAAAGATGGCAAAGTGTGACAAATATATATGAACTAAAAGACTCATAAACAATGTCACATATTCAGCATATGAAAAGTTATACTGTAATTCAAGAAACCAAATACTATCAAATAACATTCTTAAGATGAATACTACACACACACACACATAAGTACAACAGGTAAAATAGGAAAAAATGTAAAGATAATACAGCATCTATTACAGCATCTATGACAATGTACCTCATCCAGGTCCAATCCAGAAGCATCGCCGTCACCAAATCTCTCTAAAAGCAACACGAGCAAGCAAAACATTAACAAGAGAAACAAATGGAAGCCATAGAGTAAATAATTAGCTAAATATTTTTTTTATCTGCTCACGAGGTCTAAGCAATATGTAGGGACAAGAAATAACAAGTAAGACTACCCAAACAGTGTCTACTCAAAATAAGCAGAAGACTACTAACCATCCAGCCCAAACTTTGATGTGGAATAACTGACACCTTCCATCGTGTCCTGAAGGGTGATTTGCTCCCTCGAACTAATATGATGATCAACATAGTTACTGCAAATATTGCAGTTGACATGTTAAACTGGATGAATAAAAGGTATGAACTTACAATATTTTCTTCCAAATATCTTTATAAAAATCAGTAACATAATAAATATGTGCAGATATCTCACGTTAGTAAATAAAAAGTAACATCCAAGGAATAAAAGTTCAAAAATTTATGGCACAAACCCCTGAGTAATGTCTGTATCTGGCAGCTCGAAATCATCAAGATCAAACTTCTCGGGCAAGGTAATAGAGTGATATGGTGCTTTTGACTCTTCTGGGGGTAGGTCAACAGCAGTGGAGCGAAAAGCTTGCTTAACTTTGAGCAAAGCCTCACTGCAGTCATCAAATAGGTAGTTTACCTTTTTATTATAGATTCTCACCACACCAAGCAAGAGATGGCTTGACAACCGAAGTGCAATCGGCACGTCAGGAAAAAGAATTGAGTCTGTACAAATAAGAACTAATGTATATAAGGAGAAATGTAGAAATATTTATCGAAGAAATAAAAAAGCACAACAACTAAAGAAAATATAGTTCAGTATGTATATGCATATAGGTTGGTACTGAAAAAATAGAATAAACTAGATGAAGGTCAATTCAACAACTTTATAACAACATAAATCTAGCATGCACATCAAATGTAAGGACTCTTACGCCATATTTGGTTGTACAAAATAAGGACCCATGATAAAGATTAGAATTTTAAGCAATAACAAACCCAGGGTGAAAAAGTAAAAACTGAAACATTGATTACCACTTGTGTACACGTTTAATGAACCAAGTTAGTTGATTCTCTTTATCTGGTCAGAGATAACATCACTCCATTCTTTTTATCTGGCATTACATTGAACTGTGATGTCTAAGAACTCATGACGGTAATTTCACTTCTTCCATTAGTTAAAAGTTTCCAAAGAGAACAAGCAAAGAGTTTTGAATTTTGGTATCCCCATGCAGTTGTGGATAACCAAATATGTAAATGAGAATTGAATATGATAAAAGCGCATAATATTCATGAATACTCAATAGTCAATATGCATGAACACATAGCAATAATATAGCTCCACAGAAACTAAGTTTCTTCAACCAAAAGCTGCTGCTAGGAAAGTAAAAGCACAAAAATTGAAAAGGTCAATGCTATCAACTCTGAATTTAGAATATAGTAAGTAATCGAGCCAGATGTGATTTTTTTTCTGGAACTTGGGTGGTTTCCACTTTTTAAAGAGGCATGCAGAACAGCTATATAACATATTGCAACTGTGAGCATTCTCTAAAGCTTGGGGTAAAGTGAGTCTGCAAATACTTTTTCTCTCTTCTCCTGTTCTCCACAACATTCATGTTTTAATTACACAGAAAAGGATCAATTTTGTCGATCCAGGTAAGATTTGAGGCACTAAGATGTTGACTCAGCATGTAGGAAGTACATTTGGGGCTGTAATTCACCAGTTCATTTGACCTTAGCACAGTACAATATCTACGGAAACTGACTCTACGACTGACAGAACGCAAACTTCAATTGCTTGCAGGTTATAAATATGGACTTCCATATGATTTATTAACTTGTCCAAACCAATTAGCAAACAACAAATGTGGCTATTTTACAAGAGCAAATATCAAAATGCATGTTATGTACCAATTTAAAATTTTATAATATTAAAAAATGTCCTTATTACGAGGAGCAGCTATGTAACTCTACCTCCTTAATTATATAACCACCAAACCAACCATGAAGATATACCATTCAACAGATCATGCATGATAACTAAAATGCATAAGATGTAAAAGAAAGTCATATCAATGGCTAAAAATTTAAACTTTACCTACAGAAACTCCAATATCAGTATCAGCAACTTGATTTTTACGAAGCTTACGCTCCAAGTGCGCCGCTATCCAAATGGTTCCTAATGGACCCTTTTTTGCCAATATGAACTGTGAATAAAACATTATTCCTTCCCTGCCACTCCAGCTGCAACCAATTTATTTCCTACTTTACAAACAACAGCGCTACAACTACTTCGAGTAGTTATTCTTCTAATGTTCCTTTCCTATGAACATACACAACGTCCAGAACCCTAAATTACAAAGAAATACGCACAAGAATCAAATATTTATTTGTAACTTAAAGAGACGAAATTAAAGCACCAGGCTTTATTCTTCAATCAGGACCCACATGTAAATCCATGCACAACCCGTGCTTAATTCCCATTCTTAAGCAAGAACCCCAACAAAAAACCCTAGATTCGACATGAACAATAAATTCCAATGCGAAACCCCAATTAAAAACCCTTGACGCTCCCGAAGCCAGGTCTTCCCGCGAAATACACCTAAATTACCAGCTCAAAACACTTCAAAAAGACCCAATTCAACAGCAGAAGCTGCAATTCTAGCTCCGATCGAAAACCGCAACGGAGCGTATGACGACGGTAACTCACACAGACGTATATAGCGTATAAGTCGAATGATCTTATTAAAAAAGTAGAAAGAAAACCGAGAGAAAAACTTGAAAATTTGTGCAATCTAGGTGAAAATTTTGTTTTGTTTATGAAGAAATTTAATTATTACGAGATTTCAATAGGCAAAACGCAGGCGCGTTCAGGACCCAAATTGAGTAATCGGGTTGTTCGAACTAAAGTGTCGTGGAGATTGTTCACGATCTATGTTCTTTGGAGTAAATTTACCAAAATGCCATTTCTTTGTCTTGCCTTTTCCCTTTCAAAAATTATAAATAAATGGGAAGACTATAGGATTTATTTACTAAAAAAAAACTTTAAGAAAATCGGTGGAAAAAAAAAAAAAAGAAAAAAAGGAGTAGAAAAAAATAGAACACACGTATTCCAGGAATACGGTTTTCAAAATTTTAATTTTTCCAAAAAACGTATTCCGTGAATACGTTTTTATTTAACTGTTTTAATCAAAAAATAAAGAAGAAAAATAATAGAGAAGTGGTATTCGGTTAACTAAAAACGTATTCGAGGAATACGTTTTGTAAAACGTATTCGATGAATACGTTTTACAAAATATTTTTATTTGATTATAAAACCGTATTCCTTGAATACGGTGTCATTTTTTATTTTATATTATTTGTACAAAAACCGTATTTCAGAAATACGGTTTACTGAAGAAAAAAATAAAAAAAAAATTGAAAAAATCAAATTTACCCAAAAATCAAATATACCTGCTCGAGCAACTAATCCAAGAAATGAAACGCAAAATCCAACATATGAAACACACAATCCAACAAATGAAACATACATTATATACAAAACGATGTAATCAGTTTATACATACAATCCAACAAATCAAAATGAAACATAAAATCAATGAATTCAACACAAGTACTAATCAGGAGTGTATAGAATCGGACGTCTGCGATTTCTAGACCCCCTCCTCCGAGTATATACGAAACGAATGGAAGGCGAAGGATCAGGTGTGAGAAGCGTGTCATCTTGAAAAGGTTGGTCATTTTCATCTTCTTCATCAGCTGAGTAATTCAATAGAAAAAAAAAAGAAATTATAAATTGGACTGGAAAAAAAAGTTGATAATTTAAAAATCTTACCAGGTTGAGGCTCGGGCGGCTGAGGTATATAGTAGTCCTGGAGGGACGGTTGCTGAGGTGGGAAGGGCTGCGGCGTGAAGGGCTGGGCGGACGACTGAGTGTGGGGACGGACCCGAGATCTTCTACCCCCACCAATGTTGGGGGCGGGTTGATGCCTGGCGGTGTGTGAGTGTGTCCTCATGGGGGGAATGTATTCGTCCTGGGAGAAAACTTGACTGGACGGCCCCCCATGTGGAACACTCTGGCCCCCAACAGTCAAAGAGGAGAAGGCAAAGTTGTACGACTGTTCGTAGCCGGATTGCGCTTCTGGAGGGATTTGAGCCACATATGGCTGCATATCGGATAATCCGCCATAAATCCCGTATAGGGCAGAAGTCTGTAATTTAAATTCATAACAATTAGTTTTAATCACCAAAATAATAATAATAATAATAATAATAATAATAANCNCNNNT